TACCACAGGGTCTCTGTCTGCTAACTACCTAGCTCGCATCTGCTTCACACGAGAAGTAGTGAAATGTTCAAAAAGAACAGAACAGTGCACATGTGGGGAACTGTGGAAATGGCGACTTGCAGAAGCTTTTAAAAAGTAAATAAAACCGAGGTTCAAGGTCAAGGTGTTTTAAATGCATTTGCGCTGTTACGATAAGAAATTATCGCGCCTTCTAACCTTTATATCTTGCAACAAGAAATTACCGTGTATGTTAACAATTATACGGCAAATGCATACCAGTTATGTCAATACAGTCAGACCTCGTGCATTCGCGCTTCGTGAATTCACAGATCCGCAAAAATTTCATTCTACTGTTTTCTATTAAATATTTCTAAGGTGTGTATGTGTTTTTTCTCTCTCTCTTTTTCGTGGTTAGCGCACACATAGTATATTTACAACTTATTATTTCTGTTCGTCTTTACGTAATTTTTAATTGATTGAATACCTGTACCCTGTACGTACAGTACAGTTTCCTTTACGTATTTTATTGAATTGTACCTTGGTTACATATATGGTTTCTTTCAATAAGTTTACAATCCCGTTTGTTTACTCATTTTACCTTACTGTGGATGCAAAAAAATAGGATAAGCTGTGACGGAATAAACATTATTATTATTTATAATTATTATGATTATTTTCATTCTTGTTTGACAATAGTACTCTGGCAACCATATGACACGCAGTTCAGGAAAATCAGAAATATATTGACATACCTCCTATCCCGTTTGTCTCCCAGTCGTGTGAACTTCAGTCTGATTGTGAAGCACACTGTGGATGCAGCTCCATAAATCTGATACATACTTATAAAGACCATTCACTTTCATTTCATTCTGTGTATTTATGTGTTTCCTGCTTAAATTAAGGATCTTTTTCAGAAACCTCGTGACCACAGGTCATTTCAAACGATGACTTTGGTTAAAATACCCGTCATGACTGATAATGTATCTAGGTTATACAATACCAACCAAATCATGGGCTCTTAAGTGTCAACAGTGTGGTTTGGCAAAAGCTGACATCTCATCACCCAAGACCATTACTTCAGGCTGGGTGCGAATGCTGATGTATCTCATTGCAACATCTCGTCCAATAGAAACAAACTATGAGCATGTTGAGCCTTGATTGATGCTAAAATGAAATTTATCATCAGCTATAGCTAAAATACAATAAACTAGCTCTTAAAAATAGGGCAGCAATGGGCTCTTGACAGTGGAACATTGAGTCAAGGGTCAAGCAGCGGGGAGAACCTATTGTTTTCCACCTTTATTCATCAGCAGACCTAGTATACGTATCATGAAAGCAATGGTTAAGAAGTCAATTCAGTGGTTGCACATTTGCAGCATCTTGGGTTTGAAGCAGCTGTGTAAAGGTTTTTTCGAATGTTTTGGTTTTATTGGGAACTCTGAGTTCCCCAGAGTTCCCCAGTTTGTTCCTATTGGACTTTTGCCAAACCACACTGTTGACACTTAAGAGCCCATGATTTGGTTGGTATTGTATAACCCAGATACATTATCAGTCATAACGGGTATTCTAACCAAAGTCATCGTTTGAAATGACCTGTGGTCATGGAGTTTCTGAAGAAGACCATCATGTAAGCAGGAAACACATAAATACACAGAATGAAATGAAAGTAAATGGTTTTTATAAGTATGTATCAGATTTATGGAGCTGCATCCACAGTGTGCTTCACAATCAGACTGAAGTTCACACGACTGGGAGGCAAACGGGATAAAAGGTATGTCAATATTGCAATGATGTGTGTGCGTGTGGAGGGGGGAGGACAATTAGGATGGGGGGTTAGGAGTGCATGACCACTGCTTAGTCCGGGGTGTTCGATAGATGTGAGCAGCGGCATCCTCATAGTGATGCAGCGGCGGTGGAATTCATTTTCCGTGTGGTGCCGTGTGGTGTGTGGTGCTGGGATGTTGTGTGGTGCGAGATTCACTGTGTGGTAACGTGGGTTAACGCACGCTTGGAAGGGTTGGTTTGCTACGGGGAGACAGCGGGGCCGAACCCTTTGAACCCAGACCCGACCCGATGGGTCGCTGCATGAATTGTACTGGATAAATTTTTTTTTGTAATTGTAGCTGAAGTCTTGTGGTGATCTATTTTCCCCTTAGAGCCTCTGACGCTATTTTAGGTTCATTACAATCTGTTTCTGATTTTCCTGCATGTCATATGGTTGCCATATGGTTACTACTGTCAAACAAGAATTTAAAAAATCATAATAATAATAAAGAAAACAATAATAATGTTTATTCCGTCACAGCTTATCCTATTTTTTTGCATTCACAGTAAGGTAAAATGAATAAACGAACGGGACTGTAAACTTAATGACAGAAGTCATATATGTAACCAAGGTACAATTCAATAAAATACGTAAAGGAAACGTACTGTACGTATCCCAGCAAACAATATGACGTTGAAATGACGTCTTTTAGACGTCTTGGCCTACCGTAGAAAAGACATCTTCAGAGGGTGCAGAATGAAAGTTTTTATGACGTCTTTTTTAGACGTCCTCTGGATGTTCAGTTATGACAACTATAAGACGTCTGTATAAGGTGAAAAAACAGTCCGGAAATGGTCGGTGTAGACGTCGTTTTAACGAAACACATACTTACTTTAGACGTAATTTATGTATTTACAGCTTTATTCATTACAAAATAATCCCTACTATATACCATATTATGTTTCACCCCAATAACCTAGTATCATTAAGCAAATTCAGTACAAAAAGTCTCACACA